CTACAAAGAGCTTCCTCATATTAAAAATCGGATATAGCTGGATCGGGTTAACGAGTCCACTACGCAAATCACACGTATCATGGGAACAAGTACTCGTCAGCCCAATCGAGCTTGCGTCATTGGTCCTCACTTACATGACAGGGAAACTATCTGGCGCAATTGCTAATGCAAGGCCAATCGATTGATCGGCAGGGTCTTCGCCCTTCATCACACATTGAAGAATTCAACATTCAAATGACGAAAGATGCATGCGGTCGAGATATTTGCTTCAAGATCTGCATGGGCCTTCGTAGTTTCGCAAGCGACATGTCTTAGTCTGTCAAGGATTGTGATAATCGGTCTTCTATGCGAGATTCCATGTGATATTTCATAGACTAAAATTTTCGGTTTAGCAATCCGCAGGTTCTTGGCTGCTGTTTTTCGCCCAAACAAGTTGGGAAAAAGCCGTCCTACCCGAGCCAGATCTATTGATCCACACCACCAAATGCCTATTTTGACAGGGAAGGCTAGTCTCTGCTATATTTTCCCAACTCATTTCGCGTCCTTGAGTTGATTTGTCAAAGTAAGGGCGTACAGTCAGAGATTGCTCTATGGGTGTGGGGTCGAATCCACATTAAACAAACTTTTATCTGCCTGAGTCAAATATCCACTGCCACTGTGTGGGGATGGGCTTTTTTCAACTTTGAATTCTTTATAACTCTTGCGTCCCGCCTAGATCTTCACCTAGCGTATAGACCTTCCATTTTGTCGAGCCAAGATCGCCAAGATGTCGGATCATGCGGCTACCGAAGGAAATGTAGAAAAGGTCATGTCAGCAACAGGTCAGTCACCTATATTCTTTGCTGATGCTTTCTCCATTGTATCTTAAGAGTTCAAAATACTGAAACTGTTGTACAGAGCACGCGGTGGCTCCATCTCATGAGTCACGTCACTCCCATGATTCTGAAGACCAAGACTCGGAAGTTGACCATGAACCCATCCAAGAACGCTATGGAAACCCTTCATATGCTAGATTCCGCCGAGTGGCCTCCAAAACTATTGTTTCATTCGGGCCTAACGACCCGGAAAACCCAGTTAACTGGAGAACGGTATGTGGGATATTACCTGACACGAAGAAGCAAGGCGAAGGAAAGAGTACTGATGTGTCCGACAGAGGAGGAAGTTCCTTGTTCTCGCAGCTGGTATCATGCAGGTCATGAACAGTACTATCGGCTCGTCAATTTGTAGCAACGCCATCCCCCAAATTGCCGAAGAGTTTAACATCACCAACGAAACAATGCTCGTCTTGCCTATCTCCATCTTTCTCATCGGCTATGTTGTAGGACCATTGTTATGGGGTCCTAGCTCCGAGTATTTTGGCCGGAAGCCTCCTTTGCTCATCTCTTTTGTTGTATTCATGATATTCACGCTGGCGTGCGCTGTCGCAGATTCATATGAATCTCTGCTTGTCTTCCGATTATTCAATGGAATGGTTGCCTCGGCGCCCATTGCTACTGTCGGCGGATTGTTTGCTGATGTCCATGATGATCCCACACTGCGAGGTCGCCTGATGGCTTATTTCATGGCTGTAAGTTTTGCCGCATACATTTAACTAGAGTTCTTGGGTCCAACGGCTAATTTGTTAACAGTGTACAACCTTCGGGCCAATTATCGGACCTTGGGTATCTGGCTTCGTGGCAGTTGTTGACTGGCGTTGGTGTTTTTGGATTGGACTTATCCTGGCAGGTGCTACCTTGCCGTTGATTATCTTCATGCCTGAAACATATGCGCCGGTCATTCTGAAGCGTCGTGCGGAGAAGCTACGCAAAGACACCGGGAATTCAAGCATTGTATCGCCATTGGAGATTCAGAGTCGCAATCTACGAGAAATGCTTCTCATCACGATATCACGACCCTTCCGTATGCTTATTCATGAGTATATCGTCTCTCTGAGTTCGCTGTACCTTGCTCTGGCATATGCGATCTTCTACCTCTACTTTGAGGCGTATCCAATTATCTTCCAGGGTCGGTGACCTATCCCAGCTAGCTTACGCATAACCTTGTTGGAGACAGAACACTAACAAACACTATGCAGATATCTACAAAATGAGCCCTGGTGTGTCTGGCTTGATGTTTCTGCCTAGTAAGTCTACCCCAACTTCCTTTCTCTAAACTAAAAATGAGTGAATTCTGATTTTCTTCCACACAACAGTCGGCATCGGCGCCGTTCTTGCCTGTTTCGTCTTCCTATGGTACGATGGCTTCCTAGCTCGAGCAAAGGCCCGCAACGCCAGCTGGGCCTTTATCGAGGAATATCGCAGACTCCCCCTCGCCTGCATCGGCGGACCCCTATACGTGATCTCCCTCTTCTGGGTAGGCTGGACAGCTTCGCCGAACATCCACTGGGTCGTCCCCTTCCTCTCCGGCATCCCGTTCGGAATGGGCTACCTGTTGATTTTCATGGCTATGTTGAACTACCTGACCGACGCCTACGAGACTCTCTCTGCCAGCGCACAGTCCGCCGCAAGCTGCACACGGAGTATCTTTGGAGCTGTGCTCCCGCTCGCGGCTAAGCCGATGTTTAATCGGCTCGGAGTGGCTTGGGCTTGCAGTTTGATTGCTTTCATTAGTCTGGGCGTCTCTGTAATTCCGTTTGCATTTATTCGCTACGGTGACCGCATTAGAGCAAACAGCAAGTTCTGTCAGGAGCTAAAGCGCATTAAGGAGGCTGAGAGGTTGGAGTTGGAGAGGGAGGAGCGCCTTGCGAATGGTGATGATGCTCTCGAGCCTATCCCGTCCCGAAATACTGGGATTTCGATGACGAGGATTGACACTGCTCGCACGGATAAAGCGTCGATCATCTGTTGAAGATGGTCAATAATTGCGCATCTGAGGTTCAGTGGTTTTCACGATTTACTCATCGAGTGTTTTCTCGACAAGGCGACTTTCTTCGCGCGTGTTGGGACATTTGTTCCTCTTCGCTGTCTTTCTTTTCTCCTATCTCATCGGTTTGGCGATTCAAAAGTTTTGATTTTCTTTTCACGAGGCGAGTGACATGACCATATCCTTATTCTCTAATGTTCAAGCAACATAGGAACCCTACCAGCTGCTTCAAATCACGCTCCTGTCGGAGGGAAAAACGCACAGGTGCCTGCATTTTCATATACGTTTTGCTTTTGTTTCCCCATTTTGAGTCATCTCACTTTACTTTCTATCAGGGACCGGATATTGCATCGGGCGAGCGTTGCTTCATACTCATATTGCTTTTGATATCTTCTACTAAGAAGACCCGCAAATAACCTTTATCTAGTTTTAATGAATTCCACTGTTGTTTTCGACCTACTCTCTCTTTAATCCAGCCTTTCCGACTTTGTGTAATCCCTAAGCCACAAGCTGGTACAGCTAATGCGAAAGATATCTACAATATAGCTCAATGATCGGCTATTGAATGGACAGGGAAGGAAGGAATGAAGGAAGAGAGAGAGAGAGGGTAAGAGCTCTGGGGGATGCTATCAAAAATTATGGCCCTAGGCTACCAGCATGAGATTCGTCATTCATGTTAGCTTCTCTCTTTCGCGCTAGAAGACATCTAAAATATGTCAGAGTTATTTTACATATAGCGTCTTTTATATCGTATTGAGCTAGATAAATCAGATCGCTAGTCTTATGCCGTCAAGGACAAACCCAGTATATGCGGCTGAGTGCTGTCGTTAGCCAAGATTGTGGTTTGAGGATATTTATAGACTGGGGTCCTTTTGTAACGGATCATTAGTAGATAAGGCACACGATGGCGTTTAATTTGTGCTTGTTTTCGTCACCTGACGCTAGCCACGAAATCTCACCAACTCCTAACCAATGTGAGACATTTTAGTACGGAGTAGCCGAGGGGTTTTTCAGGGTTCATGTTTGCTGACTGTCCAGAAGATCCTCTTTCGGAGTGAGCATGGAAGCTCAATTTGAATCTAAATAAGCAACAAGCGGAAATGGCCAAATAAAATCAGGAAAACAACAGAGTCGGCATTTTTGTTTCCTTAGCCTTGTCTAACTAGCTGAGCAATTTGTTTGTCCATATCTTTGGCACCTCTCCACATAACATCTAACGAAACACGAGGAAACGCGAAAGTAGGTTGCTAAGCCTTAAAGTCAATGACCATGACCCTCCAAATTCCGTCAAACGGCATATCTGGATCAATCGCGCTGTCGCTCATCTTGCTTTTTCGTTTGTTCCAACAAATCCGTTATTGTCGACTGTCCAATACGAACCTGGGTATCTCGCAGAACAAAAAGAAACTGGTTGGTTGCTATTTTCCAGAAAACCATTTGTCTCTACCTATTATTGACTTACCATAGACCTTTCCCACTGTTTTCCTTGCGATCCACTCGGCTTGTTTTAGGTCCTTTCTGTTAAGCGATCATCCCGATGCAAGCCTTGCCATTCTTGTGGACTCTACCTTAGTCCTGATAGTGGCAACTGCAGCTGTTTCGCTATCGATTCTGGAACAAAAAAGATCGATCAGCCCATCAGGCATTATTTTAGTTTACCTCGCATGCTCTCTAACAAGAGATCTTTTGGAATTGCGAGTAATCGCAAGCTCAAGTATCGGGGCTTGTTACTTGATCAAATCTAGGGCTTTGTTGGAGAGTATCTGGCTGGCCTGGGGTCTACGAACCAGGGGCCACTTCTCATATCGTGACCAAGAATCTGGTTCTACGCCAGAGGAAGCAGCGGGGCTCCTTGGTCAAGTCTTCTTCTGGTGGTTACATCCAGTGTTAAGGGAGGGGTATAGCGCCAGGCTGAGCGTTTCTCATTTGCCCGAGATTGACGGACATCTTTCGTCAAAGAGGCTACGAAGACAAATTCTGGAATCCTGGGCCGCAGAATGTAGGTTAACCGGGTTTTCCCTTTGTTCTTCTTTCGGGAACGCTGTGCAATGCTAAGGTGCAGTTTAGCTCACGTCCACACAAGATGGAAGCTTCCATATGCGTTAGCCAAGTGTCTGAAGGGTGCATTACTATCACCCATGCTACCACGTTTATTCCTAATTCTCTTCACATATCTCCAACCCATTTTCATTGGAGTTGCGATAAAGTTTGTCAATGGCACCGGCACCTCGGACACCATTCTGGGCGCAAATAGTGGCTCTCGGTTGCTGCTCTTTGCTACAACTGTGTATATGGGGATAGCGGTACGGTACTCAAAAGTCATTTGCCCTCTCCACCAATCTGACCCGCGACTATTCAGGTATCAACGGCAGTCTACCGAAGTCGGATCAACAGGCTACGCGTGATGGTCCGGGGAGCACTGATCGGTCTAATTCACCACACATCTCTTAATTTGACGCATGACAGGTCTCAGGGTTCGTCCACATTGACATTGATCACTTCTGATATTGACAGCGTTGAGTCTGTTGGCGAGACCTTCCACGAGACTTGGGCCCGGCTTGTGGAAGTTGTTATTGGGACAACGCTGTTGGCCTCTCGTATCCAATGGTTTGCATTTCTACCATTCGCAATAATCTTCGGCAAGTATCGCACAAGTCAGAAATTCTGTAAGTTAAATAGTGCTAACCGCTGTTCGTAGCATGTTCGCGGATGAGCGCGTATGTCGCAAAGCACCTGGAGAACCGACAAAAAGCCTGGAACGAGGCAACACAAAGCCGTATTGCTGCAACAACTTCAACTTTGGAGGGAATCAAGAGTCTGAAGATAATGGGCATGGAAGACGCAGTCCAGTCTCAGATTTTACGTCTACGAAGTGAGGAGATTCAAATATCAAAGCCTTTCAGGTGGATCCTAGTCGCCTACAATGCAAGTGGTATGTATTGATTCGAACGGACGGATATGTAGTCGTTGGTGCTAACTTCTTATCCAAGCAAATGCACTTGGAATCCTCGCTCCAGTCTTGACTCTAATCCTCTTCGCTATGTCTTCGAAAAGCGATCGATTGCAGGCCGATCAAATATTCACATCTCTTGCTCTACTAGCTATGGTCACACATCCAGCTAACATGGTCATGACTCTCATTCCACAAGCTATTTCTATAATGTCAAACTTCGATCGTGTCCAGACTTATATCAGCCAGCCGTCTATTCAAGACTCGCGGGAGTACTCTCCAAACGATAACATTGAACAATTGGCTACACTTCAAGACATAACAATCCAACCTTCCTCATTAGCCAGTCCTATTCTTCTTGATGTCTCCCAAGCTCTCGATCGCAGCGAGATTTTGATCTGTGCTGGTACTGTTGGAAGCGGCAAAACAACATTAGCGATGACCATTCTGGGAGAAACCACTCCAACCAAAGGATCTATCTCTGTATCTTCAAGGAAGATTGCATATTGTGCTCAAGCTCCATGGCTACCTAGCGTCGCTATTCGCGAAGCTATATCTGGGCACCTGCTCGACCTAGATATCGATTGGTACAATGCGGTGATCGAAGCATGCGGTCTAGTGTCTGACTTCGACTCTTTTGTCGGTGGTGATTTGGCACTGATCGAGAACAATGGGATGAACTTGTCAGGAGGGCAAAAACAACGCATAGTATGGGCTTTCTCTACCTTTTTGGCCGCTCCTCATTTGCAAAATATTTTTCTGACAAAAGCATTAAAGGCTCTTGCTAGAGCGGTCTACTCAAAATACGAGATACTCGTCCTAGATGATCCATTTAGTGCTCTCGATCCCGCTGTCACAGGTCATATCGTGCAAAGATTGTTGGGCCCACGAGGTCTGTTCCGAAAAATGGGGACAACAGTACTTTTGATTAGTAACTCTAGTAGGTTCGCAATTATCTGTATAAATTGCTACTCCACTGACATCAAGGGTTGAATAGAGGACCTGTTTCCAATTGCGGATAGAGTGCTGCTTCTGCAACATTCAAGACTACACCTTCAAACCCCGACCCATCCTCATGACCGGAAAGCCATTACTGAGGGTTCTACAATTCCGGAAAAACCCTTTAGCAGTGCTCCACACCATGAGACGTCTAAGGTTACTGCGCCAATTCGGAAGCTACACCTGAACGATGCTGCGGATGAGATTTCTCGGAGGACCGGTGACCTTGCGATCTATGGTATGATATACGTGCACATATTATGTACGATTTTCTATTAATCTCAGATAGATTATTATATTAGCGCGATTGGCCGAACAAATGTTTTGATTTTGGTTGCTTGTACTGCTGGTTTTGCGTTCGGTTCTACGTTCGCCCAGTACGTGCTCAAGTGGGCGACAGAATCAGCTCCCGAAAGTTTAGCCTTCTACATGTTTCTCTATGCCGCAGTCTCTTCAATTGCATGGATAGCAACTAGTGGGACGATGTGGTAAGGCCATTCGCTTTCCAAATAGGCTAACAATGCTAACCCTCTTTAGGTGCGCTCAATTGATAGTCGCTGTCAACTCGGGGGCTGTTTTGCACGCGAACCTTCTCGATCGGATCCTCAAGTTTGTTTCCACCCTTTTTATTCCAATATTAAGCAAACTGGGCACTAATCAATATAAAACAGGGCACCTCTATCTTATTTCACTGAAACTGATCTCGGTGCTATCATGAATAGGTTTGTACACCCCTTTCCCCTAGGCAATAACCACACACCTGAACAAATGTCTTGATCCACAGGTTTGGGCAGGACATAAATGTTGTTGATAAGCAGCTTCCTTCAACTCTGGCAAATTTATATACCCGTATGATTGGCCCAATCCCTGACTTTGCTTGTTTTGCTGACCTTTCAAGCAGAAATCTTCAAACTGGCGATGCAGTTGATACTGCTTTTGAAAATCAGACCTGTGATGGCTGTTACTTTACCAATCTGTGCCATGTGCGTGTACTTCATTCAACGAATTTACCTTCGGACATCTCGACAACTGCGCTTCCTTGAGCTGGAGTCAAGATCATCGGTGTTCACCAACTTCCTAGACACGGTATGTGGTTTTCATGCAGATTGCTAGCAATCTAACTTCTAACTACTTTTCTAGGCCAGCGGTATTGTTACAATCCGAGCGTTTGGTTGGAAAGACAAGTTCGAGAACGAAAATGTCAAATCATTAGACCTATCTCAAAAGCCATTTTACATCCTCCTCTGCCTACAATGCTGGTTGAAGATGATCATGGATTGTATCATTGCGATTTTCGCAGTCATTCTGATCGCTTTCACCGTTCTGTATCGGAATACGACCACTGGTGCGGACCTTGGCGTGGCTCTAAACTTGCTCATCGTTGCAAACACAACACTCCTACGACTTGTACAGTCATGGACATCTCTGGAGACATCTTTGGGGTCCATTTCCCGATTGAAGAGCATACAAGACTGCGTCCCTAATGAGGATGACGTTGGGGGTACTTTAGATCCTGACTCACAATGGCCCTCTTCCGGCAATTTGCAGGTCAATGGCATCTCAGTCGCCTATTCAGAGTCCGCGGCACTTTCCTTGTCCAATCTCTCTCTTGCGGTCAAACCTGGACAGAAGGTCATTGTTATAGGTCGAACAGGGAGGTAAGAAATAAATAAGCTCAATTGCTTGCACTGCAACCTCCATGGCTAACTGCGCTCTCTCTATCTAGTGGCAAAAGTACTTTGATGCTTTCATTGTTGCAGCTCCTTAGGCCCGGACAGGGGTCTATCTCAATCGACGAAATCAATATCGGCCACCTGGCTCCGAGAACTGTCCGGAAACGCGGGTTCATTGCAGTGCCTCAAGATGGGTTCAGTATTCCCACGGCCAGTCTGCGGTTCAATCTAGATCCCTACCACACAAGCTCGGATCAAGATATATTATGGAGTCTCCAGAGGACAGGTCTTTGGGACAAGATTTATTCAACATCGGCCATTCCAGGAAGAAAAAAGGAAAACATGGATATTGATACTCAGAGTTTACTAGATCTTCCTATGTCTTCATTTCTGCCATTCTCGGCCGGACAGTTACAACTGTTTGCCCTAAGCCGAACACTGTTGCGAATTCGATCTTCTGGGCCACACAAGCCAGTTATCATCCTAGATGAAGCTAGCTCTTCGTTGGACACGGAAACTGAGTCTATTCTGACAGATATGCTTCGCCATGATCTTCAAGGCCACACTATTGTTATGATTGCACATCGCGTTGCGGGTATCACGGGTGCTATGAGACCTGGGGTGGATGCAATTGCCACTATGCAAGATGGAAAGCTACAAACGGTAGCTCTCGTGGGATTATCTGGTTGATTCACGCCTCTTTTTGTCCACGTAGTCAGGAAAGGCATCATTCAAGTTCAGATGAGGGCCCTCTATATATTAAAGATATCAATATACATTGCATATTCTTGTGACGTAGTCTCGACATGCTTGAAAATCCAATTCGATTTTGCTAATGAGTTAACCTAGAATAGTCTTGCAATCGTCGCATGTTTTCGAAAATCAGCTAGGGATATTTGCATCGGTACTATCGTTTGTGTCTGCAACCATAACACGGTTTCTAACATTGAATAAAAAATTTGGTTGAATACTCGTTGTTCAAAAAACAAAGAAATGACCCCTTGCTCTAAATATCGAAATTGAACACCCTCTCTCACCGAAACAGAAAAGAACCATGTGATCAGCAAATATGTGGCTCATTCAACAATATCCTGTACCACCAAAGCCCCTGTCAAGGACACATAATCCCCATTGGAGACATTATTTCCGCAAAGATGATGTACTCTCGAGGATTTTCTCGGCTGGAGCGCTACTAATGCAAAAAATAATGGCCGGGTAGACGGGAGATCCACTTTGGAATATACAACCCAACCATGGAGAACAGCTGCAGGTGATCTAAACGTCTGTGCGTAAGAGACAGGTAACAAAAAGAAACGAAAGAAAAAAAAAACGACTTTGCGGACCCGATGGGGCGATTGCCAAAGCCCCGAGTGGTGACTTGCATTGGTCTACACTTTAATTGTTGTGATCCAGATCTAGGATGAAGACTTTAAGGGTTCAAGGATTCAAGGATTGATGGATCTAGTCGAGGTCCAGACTCTACAGAAGTCTTGGATCAATTCCAGCTAGGAGCATTGATTGGCCCGTGTGGGATGTACTATATTAAAAACTAGTCATTTATGTAGTAGCAATGAAAGGATTCTGTGCGGAGTACAGAGACGTAGTACGGAAATACTATGTACAGCATTTCCCACTCATCTAGTTATGAATGAAATGCGCAAACAAGTTCGTGAAGATCATGAGCGGTGGCGAAAATCTATTATGCTTTGTAGATCGATCTGATCCTGGTCTTGGTGGTCTGTGTGGGAATATGGATAGGGGCATATCAACCTGGGGGGAAGAGGCTATGACGGGGAGGCGGAAAAAAAGAGCAGGGGATAAGACGATCCCAAAATGCCAAAAGGATCAAAGTCGAGACCCGGAAAATAGAAAGAAACGTACGTTGCAGTTCATCGGGTCCGAGCCATAAAAAACAAATAATAGCGGCAAACGCGCTTTGCGCGAAAGGGGGATGTGCGGTTGCAGCGGGAACCCCAGATGCCTCTTAAGTATTTTGGTAAATTATGGCCTGGTGATCGAGAGTGAGACAACTTTTTTATAATTTACTTTACTTTATGTTTTATTATTGTGTTTAAAAGTTTTAAATGTTAAGTGTTGGTGTCTGATGCAAATGACATTGTTAGCCCAACTTAAAGCCAAGGAGAAACGAACGCCCTGTACGGAGTAGTCATCCTAGTATCTTTAAATTGGGGCTGATGTGACGAACCAGACCAGACCCGTTGGAGAAAAAAGAAAATAAAAAGCCAGGAAAAGCCAGAAAAAAGCCCCCTGATATCCACCCCCCACACGAGGGGTATGACTATGATACGTCAGACTAAAATCCATGTGCCCATCTACCTAGCTCGGGTGTGATGTTCACTTGAACTAGATCGGGCCCCCGGTCTATCCCCGAGCCAGTCAGATCCCATATGTCACTAAACACTTCCACACGGCAAGTATTAACAGCTGAAGCCCGGACCTGCGTGACCCCAGATCAAACAACCGGTATTTTCGGAGTTTGGGTACTCATGAATTGGCAAGCGCCTTACGCGGTTCGAATCAAGTCTTGGTTTGTCTCGCCGATGATATCCGAAGTCTACATACAAAGTAGTTATTCAGATGAGAATTGTTCGAGTCGGCAAGCTCTGGCGGTTCATAGGGTGCACGGACGGTACTAAACGAGCTTGACGATTGTTTGAAGCTAAATACGGTATCCTGTGTCTAGATCATGGAAGCCCTGTTTACGGAATTGATCCGCCGAAGGACTATGGGCCCAGATAGTTTTTGAAGTACTCTTGTTGGACTGGTAAGAGATCAACAACCAGTTAGAGAAGGTTTAGTTGTAATCCATCTCCACTCATACACACTCCGTGCTGATTGTTTGGTGCACAGCCTTGAATGTCAAAGTTCCCACTCTTGAACTTTTGAAAATAATAAATAAAATATATTATAAAAATACGCCTGAGATCATGTGGTGGGCAATACTCCCCGGTGAACTCTGACTTTTTTTTTGCGGGGAATCCCTGGGCGTATCACAGCAGTTCCGCAGGCACAACTTCGCTGAATGAGGCATGTGGAATGCAGCTGCCATACCTTGGAGCTATCCTTTTTTTGACTGAGACTAGTGTGAAGCTGAGAATTATCGTCTGGTGATCTTCTACTTTGCTGCCTGTTTCTTGATGGTGACTTCATAGCCCATCTTTAAAATCATATTTATATCGTCTACTCTAGTTTCGTAGTCCATCGTATTCATTTTTTTTTTTACCTTCACTTTACCTTTCTTTGACATTGAGCGTTCTTGATTAGTCGTTTTAATTTCAAAAAGAAAACATTCTCAACGATCTATACCTGAAACCTTTAAATGGAAAAAGTATGACAACCTTTTCACTAGTTGCGATTCCAATCTTCGTCTTTCTTTTCGCAGTCAGACACCAAAAACAACTGCTCCAGTGGTTATCACACAACTTGAAAGGGAAACATTGCTCAAAAAATGTCTCCAATCCATCCGATGTCAAGCGTATGGCACCATACCCAGCGCAGCCCATCAAAGGCAGAGAGCGATACCGTGTCATGATGGACATTCGCAAACTCGACGCCCAGAATTGGCTTACCCTCGACAAGAACTACATGGACGAACACCGGGTCCGGACTCAACTGCTCCACGAGAAAAGAGAAGAGGTCCTCCGTTGTCTGCCAGAGTCAATTGATCCGTGTCAGGAGACATTGGAGGAAGTTTCAGACTTTCTCTGCGAGAGATTCCCCAACATGTTCGAAATGTCAATCCAAGACGACCGAAAGATCATCGATAATCGCATGACCGGCGACAAATTCACCGTCAGCGGGCGCGACACCAACGAGGGATTAACAGAGGCACTCGAGGCTGCTGTACGCCTCACGATGGAGGATCTCAGTATTTTGATGATGAACGAGGAAGGGGAATTTTACCTGTAAGTCTAAATCCACGTATAAAAGCCAATTTGTCAATACTAACACCAAACACAGGGCAGCTAGCGCTAGTCTCTTCCCAACGGGTTGGACAGTGAATCAGAGAATTGGCTGGACCATCTCTCAACTGCATGACCCTGTACCACTGTGGCACCAACAAGTTGCCAACTCCGTTAGCAAGTAAGCGACTTCCGAATTAGATCAAGAAGAATGGCCGCACAAAAGAAAACAATAAACTAACAATTACCAGATTCCTCGCCCGCTTAACCCCAACTTCTCCAATGGAACGCTCAAACTTCTTCGTAGAAGTCAAAGGACCAAACGAGAACCTGACTGAGATCCTCTACCGGCCTGGCTCCCTCTGCGAGAAAGAGTTGACCAGCCCACTCCCATCGGATATCCTGATCCGCCGCGAGAGACAGACTTTCCGTCGACTGCCGCGGACAGGGGCGATCGTCTTCGGTGTCAAGACGTATCTCACGCCGCTGGATGAGCTTCCAATGGCTGAGCTGGATAATCTTGCCAAGGAGATGAGAAGTTGGCCTGAACATGTCGGTGAGTACAAGGGGAGGGATATTTGGGGAGCTAAGGTCCTGGAATACTATCGGAAACGTGTTGGCGAGGAAAAGATAGCACATGAAGAAAGTGAGAAAGATGAGAGAATGGAGGTTTGAGTGGACTTTGTAATATCTTGTTTTGTGTTCGCATTTTGGCTCTGGGAGATCAAAAACTGGGTCGGCTTTTTGTTTAACAACGCAAAAGTTGTTTTTATGTTCGTTTCTTCCTTAAATGTTTTCTGTTTTTGGGTTTCTTGCGTTTTCTGGTTTGTTAACTAGTAAGACTGTGTCGTTGGTATGACGATGTGTATTGAATCGTCCAGATTGATTGGTTCTATTGAATTATAACATGCTCATGAAATAGCTAAGAATGGCCAGCTTCAGTACGAAGAACAAATGACAGGAAGTCGAGGGGGACTCAGCCCAAATCTATAAACAAAGCTATGTGAAAAGAAGAGAAAGTGATAGGAGCGATATAACTCCTTTAGAGTGGGGGTATAGCACAAGCTTTCTAAATCTTTGACAGTGGGGGCTTGTCTTGCTTTAATCGCACAACACCCTATGATAGAGTTAGCACTAAGCCCTAGAATGAACAGAAAAAAGCAAATACATACCTCTTGCATGCAAGTAGCAATAAGCAGGCCATCCTTAGACCAAATCTTCTGAATTGCCAAGCCTCGTCCTTCGCCAGCCCACGGACTCTCCATCTCCGTCAACATCCACTCATCGGCACGGAATGCCCGCGGATTGTGGAAATAAATTGAATGGTCCAGGCTGACCATCATGCCAACCTCTTTATGATCTGCCTCATTTTCACCCGTCGTGGCCCTGTTCAAGGCCCCTTCCAGACGGCGACGCAATTCTGCAGCCTCCTCTTCCTTCAACTCCCTTAGAGCTCGCGTGATATCTTCATCGTCGAGATCAGATGGGTTCTTAAGTGCGTTCAGAAGTTTCTCAAGTTCCGCCGGGGAGGAAAATCGCGGGATATCGTGGACGAGCGAGATAGTACCGATGAAATAGCTGTCGGTGATATAGGCAAGTGCCGACAGGTGTGCTTGGTAACCACCCTGTTCGGAGATCGCGCCGCGGGCGCGAATATATCGTCGGACCTTCTTATCTTCCTGGTTAGGGGATGTACCTGTTTGATCCCGACAGCCATTAGTACATCGTGCACAGCATAGAGCTTCCGACCAGGGACGTACGGTTCAG